CATCAGAGGCCAAATCTCTGGATTAGAAAGAATTATTCACCGCTGATTCTCCTGACAGCCAGAAGACGGAGTCACTTTCCTTGGCCTCTGCTCTGGCCTGCTTCCTGTCTCTCCTCACCTCTGCGGGCTGGAGCGCTACAGCCCCACAGCAAGTAAGCCAGGCCCCGGGGGAGGAGGGCACGGCCGGCTCTAGCCGCCCTGAAAGGTGAGCCCTTCATTAATAGTACATACCGGTCGAGTATTCTGCTCTTGGGCTCATAAGATAACCTGACATTATTCTTCTGGGCAGGCTTCCTGGTGCTTTGTACTTTTTAGGGAATCCTGTCCTTGGTTTTGTTTTAACGTTGGCTTCAGTCGCTCCCTCAGAAATGTAACCAGCTGCCAACTGACCCTGTTCACAAACAGCGAACACAGGGCCTATTGTAAACCCAGTGATAATATTCAAAATGGCTAGAAATTCAGTGCCTCAGAGCCACAGAATAAATTTTCCTGGACCATCCTGAGAACCTTTGTTGGGATTGCATTTCTTCCAGCTCCTTCTATCAGATTTAGGGAGGGCAGGTGCCTCGCCAGACCTGCCCTCCTCGGCTGGTCTCTGCTGCCGTCCGGGGGGTCGGCGCGGCCGGCTCGGGAGAGCAGGGACCAGGGCCGGTGACTGCTCACGGGGCAGGGTGCCCTCGGGGGTCGCGTGACCCCTGCAGCGCGGGGACACGAACTTGCCGAAGGACCAGTGAGCGCTGCAGAGCAACAAGCCTCGCTGCCAAATCGATCTTCACCCCCCGTGCCCCAGGAAGCGGGCGCCCACCCAGGCATAGGCAGTGCTTGGCATTACTAAAGAAGAAGTTTATGTTAGGGGCAAAATCATTACAAAATGTGGTTATCAGCCTTTCTTTCTCCCCACATGTGAGGAATGGGTCCTTTTCACTCCTCACGTCGAATTGAGCCTCTCCAGTAAGATTCCCGGGACTTGGTGCTACGGCTTCCCCCGCCAACCTGACGTGGGCTTGCGTGGCCGCACCGGGCCCTCTCTCCCGCCGGCTGACCCTTTCCACCCGCAGACCTCCCTGGTGCCTTTGCGGCCCCTGCCCTTTGCAACTGCCCTGGTCCCTGGGACTGCAGCGCGGACGCAGGGTTGGGTGCCCGGCCCCCTCCCGCGTGTGTGCCTGCCCGGCCGTCGCTGGCTGACTGCTCTGTTCGTTAAGCCTGACTTCGCACCACGTCTTGGCTCCTTGTCCTTCATACCCGCACAATAGGCCTTCCAGGCGGCTTGCCATCTTCTTCTGCCACCGTTGGATGGACTCGGTCCTTGCCTTTCCTGACAGAATAATCCTTCGGACACGGGTGACCCTTGTGGGAAGCTGCTCCCTTGTGAGCTGCCTGTGCTTCATGGGAGAGAAGCCATCTCAGACCCTTCGCTCCCAGTGGACCCGTGCTCAGCACAAGCCGAACACCTGTTCACACAAACAGCCGCCCAGAAATGGGCCCAGAAATGGAGGGAATTGGACGTTTCCAGGAGGGGTGATGAAGACAGAGGTGCTGGGGAGGATGCCGTAACTAGCTCTCCAGTATGGAAAGGCTAGTGTTATTCCAGAAGGGAAAAGTAGAAGCAGCGGTGTTGCTAAGAAGGAATGTGATCTGACCAGAAATTGCACTACTGGGTATTTACCCCAAAGATACAAAA